CAAACGCTATCGTCAACCTTATCCCCTATAGAAAAGAAAAAAAAAAACTTAAAAAAAAGGTATTTACAGAGCACCATCTAATAAATCACTCCAAAACCATTCGCACTGTCACAGGGAAAAAATTTAATTCAGCATAAATTAACCATATACAAATTCGATTTTTAACCTCTTTTCTCCAACCAAAAAACTGCCTTCCAGAAAATATTTTCGTTCGTCGTCCATACTAATTCTCTCTTTTCCCATTCAGACGGTTACAAACGAAGGACCAGCCGTTGCAACCGAGAAACGACAATGGTACCGACATAAGCAAGATAACGTTCACCACTCTTCGACCGGAAGTGACGTCGTTCAGCTCAGTGGCGCGCTCTAGCGTCCATGTGCACCTCAGAAAGGGCGCCTCGAAGGTTCGACCGAGTCGATCGATGTCGTTTCGTTTACGAAAGAGTCGCAACAAAGGTGCCAGACGTCGAAGGCAGCTTCAGAAAAATGGCGGGAACACGGTTCGGGTGGGACGATCGTACGAGATCGGGGACAATCGCATCGATCATCAGGTGGAGAGCGTGCAAGGGCCACCGGAAGCGTTCGAGGATGGTGCCGTCCATATCGAGCCGGTTTATCGGGTGACGAAGAACAAGAACATTTTGGACTCGATCCTGAACGTATTACGACGGGTGATCAACCCCCCGAAATCTGTTGGTCCGCTCGTGGGACCATTTCACTTCCCAGGGATCGGTGACAACGTTTACATCCGGCTGTTGGAGCAAGATCAACCGGATAACCTGGTTATACGACTAGTGTCGCATCTACCGGTATCTGACATCGAGACAACGTTGGACAAGGATATTATCTCAGCTGCTGAACTGGCGAAACATTCTGCGATTCCCTCCATTGGCCACGAGTTGCTCAGCCATGCCGAAGTTCCTTCAATCAGCCACGATTTAGTCAGCCATCCGCAAACCATCAGCCACGAATCCCTTGCGCCCTCGTCTAATTCTCATGGGACTTCATACGGAGGTCACGGCCCTGTTAAAGCGAAGAAAATGTCGCCCGATAGCACGCTATCTGCTAGTAACGATGCAACAGAAGTCTCCAAACAGAGGACCATCAGCGAAATCGCTAGCCAGGTGAAAGTACCCTACGTCTCGAGGACGTACAAGATGGTGAATCTTCAGAATGCCGACCAGACTACCGATCAGAGACTCGTTCGTCATCGTAAGAGGGTTCAGCATTTCGACGTCAGTTCGAAGCCTGGAGAACAGAAGAATAACACAAGGAATATTCAAGGTCATCGTGGGAATAGGTACCAGGACAGCGTTGAACATTCGTATCAGTTTCCATTGACGAACTACTCGGATCTGGCGATTCCATTGAGGGGGAACATTCAGGAGTCATACTTTTCGAGACCTGTGAACGTCTCGACATCTCAGCATATGGCCCAATTGGG